AAAAATGCAAAATTATGATATAATCATAATTTTGCATTTTTCAAAAACAATATAAAAGTGGGGGGAAATTCATGAGCATATAGAAATCAAATCACCGACTAAAAAAGTAGACTCCTCTAGAAGAAGCTAAATGCTGCAATATACTCTTAACTTAAATCTAACTTTAAACCATTTTCAGAATGCTAATTTTTTCCTGATATTGGTACTAATGTTACAAATAAAAAAGTATGTTCACCAGAATTCTTAAAGGGATTGGCCATGGAAAGCAATAGATAGTATATCACCCTCAGCACTGAAAATTTTCAGAGACGACAGTAGACTGGACAATGGGGCAACAGTCAGTGATTTAATTTATCAACAATTTAAATTTGAATTGCTGATAATTCATCGAACTTTAAAGCTGTACTGTTAGCTAACAAATAAGTATAATAATAAATAAACAATAATCATCAAGAAATTTGAATTTTCAGAAAGTAAAAGCACAATACAGCATGTCTCATTGCCGAATACCATATTAGATAACACCATATTAGATATTAGATATTAGATAACACAACAAAATCATGCTAAAAGAGAATTAAATAACTTAAGAAAAATACTGGAAGAAGTTCCCAATAGATTTCTGCATACATAGATACTCATCAATATGATTACAAAGTCGCAAAAACAACAACAGTAAATTATCAGGAATTAATAAAGATCTCCATTATAGCAAAGTTTACTCACTATACAAACTTTTTAAAATTAGCCTTCCACAACTTGACAGAACCACCAAACAGCCATTTCAGGATTAAAAATAAGACATATTAACACAAATTCGTCTGACACTTTCATAAAATGCCAGCATCTTTTTATCTTTGTTTGGTAAAAATTAGAATTTAATTTATCTAGAATTAAAAGAACAAGAATCAATTATTTTCTTACTTGCTTAATCCAGTCTTCTTTGTTACTGCTGAGCAGTATGAGGTTCCTTCTTATATAGTCTGACCCAAGAATCTCTGTCCTCAGCCAGCCTTCTCCTCCTTCAGTCCATTCTCCTCCGGTCAAAGGCTTCTTTGATTCCTTCTTCCCATCTTTTTCTTGGTCTTCCCTTAGTTGGTTCTCTTGGATTATTTCCTCTGCAGGCCACAGGTCCAAATTTGCTCTTATGGTCACATTCCTCACACAATCTCTATATTTTCCCCTATATTTTTCTTAAATACCACATTTCCACAGCCTATATTTTGCTTTTGTGCTTGGAAGTGAGGGTCCAAGACTCGCATGCATATGTTAATATAGGGAGAAAGGTATTCTTGAAGACAATCTTCTTAGTGGCCTTTGAGAATTTCTTCTTGTTCATAAAGCCTGTCTTGAGGGAGTAGAAGCATTTTCCAGCCGTCTTTATCCTTTCCTTTATATCTCCTTCAACCCATCCATACTCGTTGAGGTGAGCATCCAGGTATTTAAAATCCATAACTTGCTTCAGGCGGTTTCTACCCACCGAACAATATGATCTCCTTGGTTGCTTCTTCTCCCAATCCTCATGAACTTTGTTTTGGAGATGTTAATTTCCATGTTTATATTGTTTATAAACCATATATTACCATACTACCATTACTGCAATGATTTGACAACAAAAGTAATTTATCGTTCTTTTCCAATTTCATTAAGTTATTTCTTATTTTATTGTTTGTAGCAACTATTTTGCAGTATTGTGACCTTATTGCTTATCTTTTTTCTTTAATACATCTGTATAGATATGTAAATACTTCTATTATTACTTATGTTTTAGTTATTCTTTTATTGTAATATGTATTTTGGCCAGATTTAATGTTAATTTTCATGACCAATATTGTTATTCTTAAGGGACTTTGCCCCAGAATAAAGTTGATTCTTCAATTCTATTCTATATTCCTCAGCTCAGCTTGAAGGATCTTGAGGTTAAACTGCAGATTATGGCAGTCATTTCCGAATACCACCATATCCTGAAGGTTCCTATATCCGTGGTGGTATGGCCTCATTTTCTGTTTTGCTTGTTTTAGGCCAAAGTCCAGGATAAACAAGAGGGGGCAAAGGCTGCATCCCTGTCTGATTCCTGTTGAGAATTCCTTTCATGTATGGTTGCACATCTTGACAACATTTTTCTGCGTTTAATAGACTTAAAAATTCTTCCAATGCTCTTGAGATGTCTGTTTTCTGCACCCTGTCAAATGCTATATTTAGGTATACAAAACAAGCGAAGACCTCTCTGCTCTTTTCAATAACCTTCTAGGATATTGTATACTCCTATTAGGCCGGAAGCCATATTGTTCTTCCCCTAGCTTATGTTCTATAAGGCTTCTCAGCCGCTTTTCAAGTATCTTGGAACAAACTTTGTAGGGGGTGCTGAGTAGGGATATTATGGTTCCGACATTCACGGTTATCACCTTGTTTTGATAATTGGGATTACGATAGAGACTTCCCATTCCTTTGGGATAATTTTCTTTTTCCAAACAACATTAAGGTGTTGAAACAATTTGATTCCCTTCAAGCCTATATATTTCAACATTTCTGGCACAATATCATCTATACCAGCCGCTTTTTCCAGCTTTAATGAGCTTATAACCTCAGCAACTTCTTCTTCTCCAATGAAGTCATCTTCTTCCCAGATGACTTCTATGCTGCGAGACTATTGGTTGGCTTCCATTTCCAGCCCGTTATATGTCAGTAATTCTTTGAAGTATTCTGCCCACCTATTCATAATGTTTTTTGGCCTACTCAGGATGTTTCCATTTTTGCCCTTAATGTGTTTCAGCACTGGTTCATTCTGCTTCCTCATGCTCCTCAGGCTCCGGTGGAAAAGCTTCTGGTTTTCCTTGTAGTTGCTTTCCAACTTTTTTCCAAACTCTTCCCAGGACTTTTTCTTTCCTCCCATCACGGCCTCTTTCATTTTCTGGCTTTGTTCTTTGTATGCAGAATAAGCCACATCTGACTTGGTTTGCAAGTATCTCTTCCATAGGGTTTTCTTACGTTTGATTTCCTCTTTAATTTCCTCATTCCACCAAGCAGTTTTCATTGCCCTATGTCCCAGCTTACTTTTTCCACATGTCATCCCCGCAACCTCTAGTACTATTTTCTTGATTGCCAACCAAGATTCTTCCACGATGTCGCTGTCCCAATTGTATCTTCTGCTATTCATCTTTTCATTAATCAAGTTCTGGTATGCCTGTACCACCTCTGGCTCTCTGAGTTTAAAATATTTTATTTTAAACATAGGTGTCCGGTTTGACAGTTGTGGTGTGGCTGCAGAGTTTTTGAGGACTATATCCATTATTAGTAGCCAATGGTCACTACCTATTTTGTAGCCTCTTTTGACTCTTATGTCTACTACACATGTTCTTTAGTCTCGTAGTATTAGAAAATAGTTGATAATAGACCTTTCATTTCGACTTGATTCCTCTCAGGTATATTTGTGGATCATTTTGTGTGGGAAGAAACTGTTTTCAACTAACATATCATTTACAAGACAGAAGTTAAGAATTCTTTCGGCATTGTTGTTACATCTCTCCTCACCATCTGGTCCAAAAGCACCACTCCATCTGGCTGCATCCTTCCCTACTCTTCCGTTTAGGTCCCCCATAATTATTAGTATACTTTTGCATATATCGATATCATGTTGGGCAGAGTCGAAAAATGCTTCCTTTTCGAGACTAGTGGCATCATCATTTGGTCGGTAGGCTATGAGTAGAAAGTATGAGAGATCTCTGCTACATACTTCCACTCGCATGAGTCTATCACTAACAGCCTTCCAGTCCTTTTCACATTGAGCCAAGTTTTGGTGAAATAGGCATGTTACTCCGCTCTTTCAATGTTCCTCTGGATTAACTCCGGTATATAATAATATGTGGTCTTCTATCCTCTGTTCTCCTTTGCCTTTCTTCTTAGTATCTGTTACACCTAGAATGGCTATCCTCGCTCTTTCCTTTTCTTCGACCAATTCTACTTCTTTCCCATTTAAGCCTTTAACGTTCCATGTGCCCATTCGTGTTATCCGTTTTCCACGCCGTGTCTGTTGCCATAAAATCTGATCGGCTCTATTTTTTTCTCAACTTTTCATAGTATGTTTTGTCTTGGGAGAGCAAATTTTGAGCACGTTGCTCCCAAAGCCCAATAGAAGGGTAGGCTGCTTCTTCAAAGCTATCTGGCCAGCTCCCTCACTACTTCACATGCTTCTGCTGCTACTGACCAGAGACAGTGTTTTTCAATAAGGTTCACCCATTCTGGCTGCAGTGGAGACCTCTCCTCCTTTACCAGGGCTTGGGACCTGCAACCCCCTCGAAAGGAAAGTTGGTGGAGTTATCAGGAATTAATAAAGATCTCTATTATAGCAAAGTTTAATGACTATACAAACTTTTAAAAACAATTCTTGGTATTAAACAACAAATAGAAACAATTCTAGCCTTCCACAACTTGACAGAACCCACCAAACAGCCATTTTAGAATTAAAAACAGGACATATTAACACATATTCATCCGTTACTTTTCTGCACTGCCATTCATAAAATGCCGGCATCTTTTTATCTCTGTTTGGTAAAAACTAGAATTTAATTTATCTAGAATTAAATGAACAAGAATCAATTATTTTTTTTAACATACAAATGAAAAATTTTCGTAATTTGGCTATTGGTGACTGTTTGCGAAATGACAAATATGCATCAAGAAATAAAATTTCAGAAGGGAAAAAGATATAGGGAAAGTTCAACAAATGCAAGACCAGCAAGGGATCCTTACCCCACATTCAAGACTGAATAGGCCTGGTCAAGATCTTTATGAAAGACCTAAGACCAAAATAGTTATTCAAAAACTTGAGGAAAGTGGGATTCTTGACATAGTGTAAACCATGTCAATATAAATATAAATATAAATACCATGTCAATATATATGTCAATAAAAACCATGTCAATATAAGTACCATCACCATATATAATTATTTAAAAGCAATAAAGTCTTCCATGTATAATAATAATTTAATTCAGACACAATTATTGCTCATTGATTTTTTCTATGTTAAATAATATTTTTTCACCAGGAACAAGTCCAAATGCTCTATTGAGTAATTTATATGGAGGTTTGGATAAAGGAGATATCTTGACTCTGTAGTTCAAGAGAAACAATGCAAGACCATACTTTACAACAAGCATTGCGTACCTCATAGCTGAAAATGAAAATAAAAGAATTAATTGAGAACATATACTAAAAGTGGTAGTATAAATATAAGTAATGAGCGATTGTCACCCTTGCACGAATCCCATACCTCATAGGAAAATATCCCTAGGGTAGTATGAAGATATTCCCACTGCATGTGGGAATGGTCAGCAGCATTTCCTTGTGAGTTCCTCTCGGTTATTCCCAATGAACTGCCTGACCAACAATAAGAGCGGCCTCCTCTCAGGATTGCTTGGAGGGTTTGTTATAGGACTGAAAGCCATACTCGCATGTTTTTGGTTTAAAAAAAAACATGACACATATTTTTTATATAACTGACTTAAAACACTAATTAATCAAAAGTAAAGTTAATCAAAAGTCTGTTTTTGAATGTTTTTTTTTAATCCCAAATTTTGAATGCAAATTTTTGAATTTCTGAATGCCCAATTGAATTTATGATACTAATTAGAATTAAAAATTATGGTTTATGTACATAAAAAAATATATATATTGTAATCTTTTTATTTTTATCTCTTATTTATCTCTCTTTCTGTCTGTCTATTATTGTCGACGTTTGTCTTTTAAAATCTGAAATCTGTCCTTCTAACCTTTAATCTTTCTGTTAGTCAATTAACCTGGTATTCGTGTATCTATTTAAGTTTGTAAGAATGGGGTGTACAAGCTTAGATAGGATGAGAAGGATAAGGTATATAAGGTAAGACCGCCAAGAATGATAGGGGGACAACCCCTACACATCCAGGGCTCTGCAACCGAGGAGGCAATCCCCTGACGTTGCGAGGATAGGATAAGAAAAGACCGCCAAGAATGATAGAGGGACAACCCCTACACATCCAGGGCTCTGCAACCGAGGAGGCAATCCCCTGACATTGCGAGGATAGGATAAGACCGCCAAGAATGATAGGGGGACAACCCCTACACATCCAGGGCTCTGCAACCGAGGAGGCAATCCCCTGACGTTGCGAGGATAGGATAAGAAAAGACCGCCAAGAATGATAGAGGGACAACCCCTACACATCCAGGGCTCTGCAACCGAGGAGGCAATCCCCTGACGTTGCGAGGATAGGATAAGAAAAGACCGCCAAGAATGATAGGGGGACAACCCCTACACATCCAGGGCTCTGCAACCGAGGAGGCAATCCCCTGACGTTGCGAGGATAGGATAAGAAAAGACCGCCAAGAATGATAGGGGGACAACCCCTACACATCCAGGGCTCTGCAACCGAGGAGGCAATCCCCTGACGTTGCGAGGATAGGATAAGAAAAGACCGCCAAGAATGATAGAGGGACAACCCCTACACATCCAGGGCTCTGCAACCGAGGAGGCAATCCCCTGACATTGCGAGGATAGGATAAGACCGCCAAGAATGATAGGGGGACAACCCCTACACATCCAGGGCTCTGCAACCGAGGAGGCAATCCCCTGACGTTGCGAGGATAGGATAAGAAAAGACCGCCAAGAATGATAGAGGGACAACCCCTACACATCCAGGGCTCTGCAACCGAGGAGGCAATCCCCTGACATTGCGAGGATAGGATAAGAAAAGACCGCCAAGAATGATAGGGGGACAACCCCTACACATCCAGGGCTCTGCAACCGAGGAGGCAATCCCCTGACGTTGCGAGGATAGGATAAGACCGCCAAGAATGATAGGGGGACAACCCCTACACATCCAGGGCTCTGCAACCGAGGAGGCAATCCCCTGACGTTGCGAGGATAGGATAAGAAAAGACCGCCAAGAATGATAGAGGGACAACCCCTACACATCCAGGGCTCTGCAACCGAGGAGGCAATCCCCTGACGTTGCGAGGATAGGATAAGAAAAGACCGCCAAGAATGATAGGGGGACAACCCCTACACATCCAGGGCTCTGCAACCGAGGAGGCAATCCCCTGACGTTGCGAGGATAGGATAAGACCGCCAAGAATGATAGGGGGACAACCCCTACACATCCAGGGCTCTGCAACCGAGGAGGCAATCCCCTGACGTTGCGAGGATAGGATAAGAAAAGACCGCCAAGAATGATAGGGGGACAACCCCTACACATCCAGGGCTCTGCAACCGAGGAGGCAATCCCCTGACATTGCGAGGATAGGAAGGTAAGACCGCCAAGAATGATAGGGGGACAACCCCTACACATCCAGGGCTCTGCAACCGAGGAGGCAATCCCCTGACGTTGCGAGGATAGGATAAGGTAAGACCGCCAAGAATGATAGGGGACAACCCCTACACATCCAGGGCTCTGCAACCGAGGAGGCAATCCCCTGACGTTGCGAGGATAGGATAAGGAAAGACCGCCAAGAATGATAGGGGGACAACCCCTACACATCCAGGGCTCTGCAACCGAGGAGGCAATCCCCTGACGTTGCGAGGATAGGATAAGAAGACCGCCAAGAATGATAGGGGGACAACCCCTACACATCCAGGGCTCTGCAACCGAGGAGGCAATCCCCTGACGTTGCGAGGATAGGATAAGGAAAGACCGCCAAGAATGATAGGGGGACAACCCCTACACATCCAGGGCTCTGCAACCGAGGAGGCAATCCCCTGACATTGCGAGGATAGGGAACCCTACACTCCCAGGGACAACCTGGAAGATGCAAGGGGGACTGTAGGAAAACAAGGGCCAACCAAATTATTCCTACGAAAGGAGAGAGGAGATAGGTTAGGAGAGAAAAGAGAAGGAGGAAGGTAAAACCAAAAAATAACACATTGGTCTGGCTTCAAACTGTCAGACAGAGAGATACCAGGAGCCTATGTGAGAAGGTAGTGACTCGGGAGAGAGTGCCTGCCCTAGGGGCCAGGCTGCTATTTATACTAATAGTGAGCCCTCAGACCTGTGAGAGACAACACTAGTAACAATTATTTTAATTAGGCCCTGAGATCTCTCTAAGTCCAAACTCCTTTTATTTTTATTTAATTATAGTACATGAATACTTATTTTAAAAATATTACAAACATTAGTTATTTACAAAATCCGTAATTACAAAAAGAAATAATAAATAGCTTCAAAATGAAATTCATAGTTCACTAGGAAATTAACAGGTTGCGCTACTAAAATTATTAATCATTATTAGAAAATTAATGACTTGCATAAATGAATAAAATAGTTCATTAGAACAACGCCTAGAGGGCGCCACGCGCATCCTCCAAAACACCATACCACTAGTCATTTACAATTCAACCTTTGACAGAGAAGGACCTCCCGTCCGTTAGCTCTAATACATCGTACCTTTTAATCCTTATCGCTAGTTAAATGTTATTATTGTTTTTACAATTTCAAATTAATTCACAACTAAAATTAATAAAATATCTAGCAATAAATTGAATTTATAAATATATTACATATAAATGTTTCTTTTCACACAGTTAAAAAATAATAAAAGAACAAAACATGAACATGAGTTCTATTAACAATTACAATTTATAAAGGCTCTAATAAAATATGTTACATTTACCCTTTCCTGTGTTTAAAAAAAAAAAGGATTATTAAACATTTTTTTTTTTTTATAATTGTCAAATAAAAAATAATTCAGTGATATAATCGTTAAAATTATTACATCTTATTATTTGCTTTTTCATCAAACATTCTTCTAAACAAGTATAAAATTAGATAACAATAGTTTTCAGTTACAAAAGTCGCTATATTAAAAAAAAAAAGTCATATGTTTTATCTCACAAGTAAGCAGTGTGTTTTATTACAAAGATCATTAGACACGGAAAATTTCCTTTAAAAAGTCCTTTTGGTCTGTACCCGATTGAGACTATCGGCTTTATCATAGTCGTTTTATTTTGACTTTACCGCGGAGATAGCTTCTAGGGTCTTCTAGTTCTTCTTGGATTATTCTGCCTTCGTCGTTGATGGCGTGGTTAGGTAGAATTACATCCGTAGTTATTTTCTCCCTCATAGTCTTAGACCATCTAATAGTCGTCTCTGCTACAGTGTTAGGTACTGGTAGTTTCTCTAGTCCAGTGTGCTCCAACTCTATTTTACGTGCTCTTTGGCTTAAACTGACTGTTTTATAGCCTGAATTTACTAAGGCTTGGATCTTCTTATGATTTTGTGTTGTTTCTAATTTTGGATACTCATATTCTTCAATAGTTGGTTCTTCATTTTCTGTGATGGGTTGAGAAGGTTCGGTAGGTAAAGATATAGTTTGAATGTGGTTTACCGAGCCATTGTTCCTTCATTGCCAGTCCTCATGACTATCTTCTGGTATATAAGCAATATTTATGTTATCTTCCTCTTCGGTTTGTACTGGATGTTTAGCAATTGCTGGCCTGTAGTTCTCTTTGAAAGTCTGATTATTTATATTCTGTCTTGCCTGTTCATCAGGATATGTTTTCTGTTGATAACTGTTGACAGATTCTTGATTATTTTTCTCCCTTACTAAGGTAATTTTGTTCACTTGAGGATTGGGCTGATTCCAATTCTGGCTTCTATCAAAGTTTTTTCTCTGTACTGGGTTTGAGTAGTTTTTACCATAAGGTCGCAAACCAGTGTTGTACTGACTGGTGTTCATTTTTTCATTATAAGGTCTTGAAGGCAGGTTATTTCCTTGGTCCTTCACCTGTTGATTAGTTTTCATCTGAGGTGGCTCTTTATCTTCAAGATATCTAGCCGAAGGCCTCTGGTAGGAATTATTTTCCTTAAGAATTCTTTCTCTCCCAAAACGGTTTAGAACCTCCAAAAATCCATCAATACTATTAATGCCTTGGTATAACATTATTTCTTCGATAGTGTCCCCAAAATGTCTTGCCATAGATTTACAGATGAATTCCTCGTCAAGCTTATGTTCACATGCCCGAGCTCTTAGTATCATATTGCAGAAGTACTGCTGCGGACTTATATTTGTGTGGTAGAAGTAACTTCCATGATTCAATTCTTCCCAGAAAATAGGGTCATATTTTCCTCTCCAAAATTTACTTAAAAATTTTTCACTGAAACTGTCTATTTCATTTATTTCAGTTTCGTGCATTAGCCACCATACTAATGCCTCATCTCTTAGGTGCTGTCTGATGAAGTCCTGAAATATTAGTGTGTGTCCCCATAATTGATATTGTGATCTTAGAGAGTTATTAAACTCTGTAGGAATATCCTTCTTACTGTTCCTAAAGAATAAAGGTTTCTGGTTCATCCCTTTATTTTGCTGAATCAACGTCGAGTTCAGCGCTTGGAACATGTCTGAGACACCACAATTACTGGCTATTATACTTGGCGGGCAGTTAGTATCAGTTCGTATTATATTAGGAGTTCTTGGCTCCATATTCACAACCTCTATAGGTCTGTTCTTCTCTAAGATGTTAATACTTTTGCTTAGAGCTTCCATCTTCTCCTCATGGATATTTAAGTCTGTCTTTATCTCCTCATTTACTTTGTTTACATGAATTCTTAGGTTTTCATATTTTTCTGTATTTTCTATTCTATTTTGTTCAACCGAAGTGGTCAGTTTTGTCTCAAAGTCAAGTTCTATGTTATTCAGCCTGTCTTCATTCTTCTCAATCCGGTTGGTCAAATCAGACTGTATTTCTTCCATCCTTCTTCCTAGTTTCCTTGCTACTAGGTCTATATTATCTGTAACATCTTCTAGTTTTTCGTTCAATTTTTCAGACTGATTTCTGAATTCTTCTGATATCAGTTGTCTCATCTCGCTTCTTGATTCTAAAGTCTGTTCCTTGAATCTTTCTGATTGTTGTTCTATTTCGGTTCTTAATTGTTTTGACAGTTTAGCAAACATCGTTTCCATCCACATCTCTGTTTTTCCAAGTTGTGTCTTTGTTTGACCTTCTTCCTCCTGGTCTGTACTCTGGATGCTTCTGGCTCCTGTCTTATCCTTCCTGGATCTCAAATAATAGTGCTCTGTTACTGAGCTTTCTTCTGTATAAGCCTCCATTACTTGTTCCCTTTTCTCTTGTTCTTTCTCATAATCTTGAGACATTTCTTCGGTAACTGGTTCGTTTATGTTATCCATTTCTAACCCAAAGAGTCGGTTATTTTAATCGTTCCTTTACAAGGGATGCCAAAATGTAATCTTTTTATTTTTATCTCTTATTTATCTCTCTTTCTGTCTGTCTATTATTGTCGACGTTTGTCTTTTAAAATCTGAAATCTGTCCTTCTAACCTTTAATCTTTCTGTTAGTCAATTAACCTGGTATTCGTGTATCTATTTAAGTTTGTAAGAATGGGGTGTACAAGCTTAGATAGGATGAGAAGGATAAGGTATATAAGGTAAGACCGCCAAGAATGATAGGGGGACAACCCCTACACATCCAGGGCTCTGCAACCGAGGAGGCAATCCCCTGACATTGCGAGGATAGGATAAGGTAAGACCGCCAAGAATGATAGGGGGACAACCCCTACACATCCAGGGCTCTGCAACCGAGGAGGCAAATCCCTGACGTTGCGAGGATAGGATAAGACCGCCAAGAATGATAGGGGGACAACCCCTACACATCCAGGGCTCTGCAACCGAGGAGGCAATCCCCTGACGTTGCGAGGATAGGATAAGACCGCCAAGAATGATAGGGGGACAACCCCTACACATCCAGGGCTCTGCAACCGAGGAGGCAATCCCCTGACGTTGCGAGGATAGGATAAGAAAAGACCGCCAAGAATGATAGAGGGACAACCCCTACACATCCAGGGCTCTGCAACCGAGGAGGCAATCCCCTGACATTGCGAGGATAGGATAAGACCGCCAAGAATGATAGGGGGACAACCCCTACACATCCAGGGCTCTGCAACCGAGGAGGCAATCCCCTGACGTTGCGAGGATAGGATAAGAAAAGACCGCCAAGAATGATAGAGGGACAACCCCTACACATCCAGGGCTCTGCAACCGAGGAGGCAATCCCCTGACGTTGCGAGGATAGGATAAGACCGCCAAGAATGATAGGGGGACAACCCCTACACATCCAGGGCTCTGCAACCGAGGAGGCAATCCCCTGACGTTGCGAGGATAGGATAAGAAAAGACCGCCAAGAATGATAGAGGGACAACCCCTACACATCCAGGGCTCTGCAACCGAGGAGGCAATCCCCTGACATTGCGAGGATAGGGAACCCTACACTCCCAGGGACAACCTGGAAGATGCAAGGGGGACTGTAGGAAAACAAGGGCCAACCAAGTTATTCCTACGAAAGGAGAGAGGAGATAGGTTAGGAGAGAAAAGAGAAGGAGGAAGGTAAAACCAAAAAATAACACATTGGTCTGGTTTCAAACTGTCAGACAGAGAGATACCAGGAGCCTATGTGAGAAGGTAGTGACTCGGGAGAGAGTGCCTGCCCTTTTTTTTTTTTCTTCCGATCCCTCTGAAACAAAACAAAACCATGATATAAGTGTCATATCGGACCAGTGCACTAGCGGAACGATACTTTGAATTACCTTGACCTTTTTCTACCTGTGGTATTTGAAGGTGCTTTGAATGATTTTTGTTGGTTATCTCTTCCTGTCCACTTAAGGTCTTGATAAGATGTATGGAGTTGAGGGTCCTCCGCTCGTTAAGTGAAAATATATAAATAAAATAAAAATTAAGCATAACGATAAAATAAGTAGGGGGGGAGGAATAGGGATATGGATAGGGATGGGGAGGGGAGGACTAGCCGTGAGGCGGGTTAAATGATTATGTTGGTGGGGTTTATTGGACCCTTACGGCCTTGCCATCTGGCAGGGAGGGGGGCTGGGGTGATGGATCGGAATAATGGGTTAAAGGATGCGGGGAGGTTGTCGAAGAACTTGATGTGTCTTCTTGAAATATGTTGTTGCACAAAGTCGAGTTGTAGTTCGTTATGTATGTGTTTCATGTTTCGTCTTTCTAATGTTGTCCCTTTGCAGATCTTCATGAGTATGCTGTTCTGGTATTGTTGTAGTTTCTTCAGGGCTGTGGGATATAGGTAGTGTAGGAGGGGGGCACCGTGGAGAAGTGAAGGTCTGAGTATGGCTTTATATATGAGTAATTTGAGTCTGAGTGATAGCCCTGGAGAATAGAGTAGATGGCGGAGTTGGTATGTGGTAGATTTTACTGTTTGTATTCTGTGTTGTATGTGCGCTGTGAAAGATAAGTGTGATTCGAGTTTTATTCCTAGGTATGTGAGATGTCTTTTTGTTTTTATAGTTTGACCGTTAAGTTTAGGTAGTTTTTCAGTTGTTTTCTTGAATGAGAATGTGATGGCGTCAGTTTTTGCGGGGTTGATATGGATAGTGCCTGCCCTAGGGGCCAGGCTGCTATTTATACTAATAGTGAGCCCTCAGACCTGTGAGAGACAACACTAGTAACAATTATTTTAATTAGGCCCTGAGATCTCTCTAAGTCCAAACTCCTTTTATTTTTATTTAATTATAGTACATGAATACTTATTTTAAAAAAATATTACAAACATTAGTTATTTACAAAATCCGTAATTACAAAAAGAAATAATAAATAGCTTCAAAATGAAATTCATAGTTCACTAGGAAATTAACAGGTTGCGCTACTAAAATTATTAACCATTATTAGAAAATTAATGACTTGCATAAATGAATAAAATAGTTCATTAGAACAACGCCTAGAGGGCGCCACGCGCATCCTCCAAAACACCATACCACTAGTCATTTACAATTCAACCTTTGACAGAGAAGGACCTCCCGTCCGTTAGCTCTAATACATCGTACCTTTTAATCCTTATCGCTAGTTAAATGTTATTATTGTTTTTACAATTTCAAATTAATTCACAACTAAAATTAATAAAATATCTAGCAATAAATTGAATTTATAAATATATTACATATAAATGTTTCTTTTCACACAGTTAAAAAATAATAAAAGAACAAAACATGAACATGAGTTCTATTAACAATTACAATTTATAAAGGCCCTAATAAAATATGTTACAATATATCAGTCTGAATACAGCAGGGAGGTTAAAATTGTACAGAGATAAGGACAAACGACTACCAAAAGCGGAGTGGAGCTAAGCTGATTCAGCTTCCAAAATCAAATCAAAGATATTTGATGAAAGACCGGCCACTAGATGTGGAGGTGAGCTGAGCTGAGCGCAGTTGAGCAGTTGAGGGCGCAAGGGTCAAATCCACTCCGCTTAGAGTCGACCAAGATTCAGTTTTTGAAGCTATGCTCCACCCACCACATCTACTCACCAATGCTACAAACTGTGTGGCTTTGTTCCTCAGTGGCATCCTTTCTTTCTGCTTGTTCTCACCGAACTACATCACAATTTTTTTTTTTTTTTTCAGTGTAAAATATTCAAGGGATGTGGAAGAACTCTTAATTGAATGTGTAAAGAAAAATATTTGATTTTATACACAAATATTTGATTTTTTTTTTCAACTTCAACATGACCAACTTTTCTATTTTAAAAAATGCTATTATACAGAATATGAGAAGGATACTGATGCAAGGCAAATTGCTGACTGAGCTGGAGTTCACTACACAATCGGTTGCCGACTCCCTCTGACTCCACTCCCTCAGCTCAGCTTAACCCCCCTTTCAGTGGTCTGTCAGCTTTAAGAAGTATTATTTAAATATTGAGGTTCTGCAAGTTCAATGGCCTGAATAGTGATCCTTAAGGAATTATCTTTTAGTTATGTTTGCACTATTTTCAGAGAGTTGAGAACATATATACATTAATTTTCTATATGCTCAGTTTTCTTTTGATTGAACACTTTTGCAGTTTATAAAGATTTGCATTAGACCCTGAAGCTCATTGGGTTCCAGGACCGGAGAGGGAAAAGGGGACACTTTACTTGGGCAGCAGAATATAGAGGGCAATTAATTTTGAATGAAATTGTTTTGTAGCTTAAAAAAAAAAAGTATAGATAGGTATCTATTATTATAAATTAGTAACAAAAAAAAAAAAAATCAAGAGACAGAACATGAATGTTAGGTTATTATTGATAAAATTCCAAACCACACAGCCTTATGTCTCCAAAATGCAGACAAAGAAAAGCGCATCAACGTTTTGCCGTTTCATTATTGAGTTAACCGATGTTTTGACCCAAACGTACGGGTCATCATCATCATTTTATTAATTTACTCTTATTACTATTGAACCCAGAGAAGCTTTCGGTGTAGCCTGCACCACCACAATATTCATCTCTATTATTACAACACATCATTAATCAATAACATTAACAATGTGACAAATGTCCTAGTTGTCATGCAACTATTATTTATTACAGAGATGAATATGGTGCAGGTACACCAAAAGCTTCTCATTGTTTAAGATGTAAAATAAAGTAATATAAATGTTAGATACTGTATAAAATTGGTAAAAATCCTGACCTTGGTCCATATTTGTTATTGCAAGTAATCTAAGCTCAACAATCACAATATGTTCTTTTCATCATTTTAAATTATAATGCATGAACAGATATTAAAAGTAAACAACAGCAAAAAAAAAAACAATAACCCCTAAAAGCATTATTGTTCGTTAAAGTACAATTATTTTTAGTTTTTTTTTTAAAAACGCCTTCAAAGAGTACTGAAACATTATTTCATGTAGCTAGTTTCCTTTCTTTTCCTTCAAGAGTACTATTACTATTATATAAAAATAAATAAATTAAATTTAAAAAAAAAAACCTCCTCCAGAATTAATTTAGAGTTTATTAAACTTTTGTTGTTTCTTATAGAGCTGATTAATGCATAGTTAATCATGAATATATGTATATATCTGTACCACAGATTTCTGCAGTAAGTACCCTCCCTAATTTTATTCTGGATCAGCTACTGCTTCCCATCAATCATTTTACCATAATACTCATTGGAAGCATCGTGTTTTAGCATCGTAAATATGAGGGTATTATAAAAGGTAAAATAAAACATACAATCTTAGAAGAGATACATTTCAGTGTTTAAAAGGAATGCTGAGAGACAGAAGACAGAAATTCATTGTACAATGAGAGCAATCATATAATTTTTGGTTGAGGTTTTGATTTTTTATCATTTCGTAAACTATTTTGCCTGTTTAATGAATAAAACAAGTAAGTTTAATATCTACTCACCTATACACATTCTAGGACCTTCTCCAAAAGGAAGGAATGTACCAGGTTTTGGCTGCTCTGCAAATCTTTCAGGTTTGAAGCTATTTGGATCAGGAAAATAGTTTGGATCTTTGTGGATTGCAGCCACCGGAATGCCTATATATTCTCCTTTTTCTATAGTAAACCCATTTGGTAAAGTGTAAGGTTTTGTGCATACTCTTGCTAGGAAAGGAGTCAAAGGATAAAACCTTTGAGTTTCTGTAAAAAAAAAAAAGTAATAAATTAAATTTATATACATACAAACATATATACATATAATTGTACGTAATATAAATTAAATTTAGAATCGGTATTAGGAAATATACATGAACTATTATTACCTTTCAAGTAAAACATGTAACAATAGTTTCAAAACCAGAAACTAATAAATTTAGAATAACATTTATAAACTGGGGAACACATTATTGGATAATAAATTGTAAACTTGTGAGGATGCTTAAAAGGGATTCAAGTCCTAGTAAATGATCTAACTGAATCTGTACTATCAAATTTGTACTGTACATGGTATAACAAAATATTAATAGTGAGAGGGCGAATGGCCACTCTAACCAAAAAAGCACAAGTGAGGAAACCAGGAGTGGCCTGTTCACCAAAGGTGGTTCAAGGAGGTGGCAAAAAGGACTTTTTATGAAAAAGATCAACATCTTTCATTTTATCATAATCTGCCAACAAGTTGTAACAGATTAACTTTGTATTCTCTTCCGATGATAAGACAACATGATGGTCCAGGAGCCTGTGGAATTATAAGATGATCTAACTTGAACAGGAGTAGTTCACAAATCATGTGAGATCTTCTCAGATGGCTGCCATGTAATAAATGAGAAAATATGAACATTAATAAAGGTATTTTTTGTGAAAAGTATGACATTCTCGGAGTTAAAAAAAAACTAAGATGTCAGCTTTAGACCACATGATAAAAGTGAAAACATCAGCAAGGCGAAATTAATAATATGAAATATAAATTGTAAATAATAGCTCATTATAAAGAGGATGAAACAATGAACAATTTCCTCGCTTATAGTACGCAGGCCCGATTTTTAGTTTCTGATATATTTTAATCCAAATGTAAAAATATTTCAATTAGTCGACTCTAGCAGACTTTACCCGAGTGTTAACACTACGGAAATCTGACAAATCAATCTAAGACACCCTTCACAAAAAAGTGCAAAACGCACCTAAAGAAGTTTTTACTTCAAAAATAATAAGTTATATTAAATGGTTAAATGGATTGGTATCAATATAAAAGGAAAGACAATAAATTCTGTTCATCTTACCTTTAACAGTTTGTTCTAAATACTTCATATTTCTCACAGCTTCATAAGTGAGACCAGCAGTTAGTTTAACTTGTTCCATTACTTCCTTCCTTAATGCATCCTCAATTTCAGGTTTTTGACTAATCTCCAGCATCGCATACGTTAACAAAAGAGCTGTCGCTTCAAATCCAGCAATCAAAAATGATTGGGCCTGAGCCATTAAGACATCATCAGTTATTTCTAAAAATATTAAAATAATTTAATTCACTAGAATTAACTTTAATTTTTTATTTATTTATTTGATAGTTATAGGTTTAAAATACTATAAAGTTAATCATTATTCATCGAAGAACCTTATAATTGGGACACATGTTTTCCTCATAAATCAATGTACTCGGATACATCGTGGAAGTTTGGACCACATGGACAGAAAATATCGCAAACAGATCATATGCTCATGAGTGCAAGATCTTTCTGACTGGTGATATTGAGATGCTGAGCATACCAATGCTCAATGATGATTCAAACCACTATCTATTTGTTGGGAAAATAAGAAGAAGGATACCAAGTATTAAAACCCAACATGGGATTGGAGCTTGATTTGGCATTAGCAAATTAAAATAGCCTGAAATAAGTCAAAATTTCTTACACTTTAGATGTAAAGATAAATCAATGTCAATTAAAATATTGATCACACTTGGGAAGCACGCAAACAAGCACAGGCTATAACAGTGAAAGAGATTGTGAGAATAGGGATGTCAAGTTTTTATGAAGAGAAAGAATAAGGCTTATGGTATAAAGAAGGCACACATGTGCATTTTCAGGTGAATATAGAATTAAGGAAGGAAGAAAAGCATACATACAGAAGGAAAACATCTGGTGCGCGAAACACACAACTTTCACTTACCACTGAACTTTTAATAGAAATTATTATCTGGCCATATTGGGCTATTATAAAATTTTTGAATTGCATTTTTAACTGAGCTAAAGCTAAAAGACTACAGCTAAAAAATCATAAATACTATTAAAATAACAAAAATTCTATTTATTATATCACCGGTTGATTATGGATTGTATGATCCGTTAATTATGGATTGTACGACTATTAGTTATTATAATGTTATTTTCCATTTCTAATAAATGAATTTCTAATAATATGCTTTTGCATGATGTTTGCGATTTTCAAGAAATATATACTTCTTTTGCAGGATTATTACAGAAAAGAAATTTATATATATATATATATATATATATATATATATATATATATATATATATATAATTTTATGTTTTGGCTGGCGCTATAGGACCTTTGGCCACAGGATGCAATCTTTTTACAGATGCATGTAATACATATATGTGAGTGTGTGTTTATATTTTTGTAAAATAAAAAAAGAAACCAACCAAATACTTCATTACTGGTATCATTAAGCTCATTTTTTAAATAATCATCAGAGGAATCCAAGGTTTTTAGCTCAATGTGTCCTTTTTCCTTAAGTTGCATCATCATCTGAATAAAATCGTTTCTCTGAATACTTTCTTTCTTCCTATAATCAATGGCATTTTTAATAATACCGCAGAAATAATTTGTTACTGATCTCGGTATTATAGAAAAACCAATTTTTTTGGATATTTTTGAAAAAGTAAAGAAAAATAAAATTCTCATTAGATTTTTAAAACCAGGGTCATTAATTCTGTTTCCCATCGCTCTAAATTCTGATTCTGGATTTTTTAAGACACCTGGATTTATTCCAAAAGCAGCTGATCTAAAATCAAAATATAAGATCGTATTACATAACTTTTAGCAAATATCATAGCAAGGTAGGTGAGTTTTCTGATACTTCACTAATTTATTCTAATCTGAGATTGATAACTACTTATAATTCATTGGTCATACATGTGTAAATCATTAGTCATATTCTTTTTATTAAGGTCTGTGAAGAAGCAGTAGAAGGATAGGGCTCAAAATAAACATGTTGGCTTTTAACATGTAGCTAAACCTTGCAGCAATACCCGATTAATTAGGATCCTAAAATCCATTTCATTAACTGAGATCCCGAATCCAGGCCATTATTTTTATCTGTCAGTTAAAGTGAATCTGGAATCCTAAAATACTTATCACAGGAGACAGGCAAGCCCATCTCCCATTTTAGAAGCACATTCTGCAGACAAGTGTGACTGTACTCTAATAAATAATGCACTAGGGCCATCTTAACCAGTCATACAAGTTTCATAGGGATTCCTATTCCACACAGATGTGGATATGGTTTAGGTCTATTAAGACTTTCTTAGTCACTCCTAAAGTCAGTTAACATGTGGTGGGTAGTTATCCTACACTCTTGGAATTTCTGCAATGCAAACCGGAAGGTGAACATCTTATTGATTTAAGACTTCCCTCCTCTGAAACATGCATAATATTTATTCCTCAGCAATTAGGTATAATTTTTTATATGACAGTTGAAAAAATTTAAGTGAGATCCAGTGGTAATTGGAGCAGTCCAGACAATTAAGGTCCAATGCACCTCTGAAACAAATAACTTGAGGACGCCTCTACCTGTCTTCTCGAGACATGAACTTTTTTTTACAGCAAATTCCAAATACACAAACTTTTTTTTACAGCAAATTCCAAATTCATACTTCATATCATTCCTGGAATGAATCCCCAAAATTATTCCTACAGCTCTCTTTGCGACGCTCCATCATACTTACACACACATACACTGTTCATGAGTGAATTAAAACAGTAGTCATTTTAATTAGCAATAATAATCCCAATTAATTGAGATCAGGATCTCAATCATTCAATGGGGACAGATCACCACCATCTACTTCCTGACACACTCAGCTATTTTCAGAAAACTGTCAATTGTGCGATCTATGTGATCTAGCGGTCCTGGTTCTTCCGACATGCAGCAGTGATTTGTTAACAATTATCATCATTATATCTGGCTATATAGAAAAAATTGCTTCTTGCATCTAGTTTCCACATCAAATATTAAATACCATAGCTTTACAATCGAGAATTTTTAAAATAGGGAAGTTAACTTTAACATTTTCGTGTTTCTACTGGAATCAATTCATAATAAAATGCTTTGACAGGGCTTCTGTTCTCAAGACGAACAGCAGTATTAACCGTGTAATGCCATTACATTTAGCTCCAATAACCGAGTCATGCGTGCTCGCAACTGACAAACACCGGAAAAAGCTGAACAGCTTTAAGTGAGGAATAAACCTACCTGCAGGCTTCATTAGCTGCAGCAAAGAATCATTTGTAATATTTCTCTATTTTTATAAGGTAAATAGAGATAAAATATCATAACGATATCAATCAAATGAAAGTACTTTCAATGAAGATAAAAGAAATAGTGAAACATTCACAAATAAATATACTGATAAGAAGCCTCCTGACATTGATGTTCACTATGATTAAATAAATCTCTTGTCGAGGCGAAGCATTGAGAGGAAACTAAAACACTGGAGGCTGTACTCCAGAAAAAAGTTTTATAAGCTTTCTTCCAGACCTTTAATATTCTATCAATGCATAACTAAGGACAACTACACCACAATTCATACGATTTTCTTATCCACCCATCACTCCCTGCTAATGAAACATTACCAACTTTATTCTTAACTCAATTACTCAACCTCTAGCAGTTGTTGGCAGTTCTAACGAAGCATAATCTCGTACATTATAAATTAATACATAATTTTTTTTTCAAGTTTAAATGTTTTTCCAAAGTTGAATTAGAAATTTCTAGGTAATTTAATACTTACCCAATAATGTCCATAGAAAATAAGCCCATTGCTTCACGCAGATCAATGTCATTTGTCTTATTTTTATCCAGGTATTCTAATAAATTATCTCCGACTTCAGTCATAACATCATACATGGTTTTTAGTTTACCGGATGTAAATAAAGGAGCCATTTTTGACCTGTGTGAAAAATTAAAAAAAAAAAAATTATAAAACAAAGCACCTAAAGTCTTCTTGAAACAAGAGGGATCAATTTAAAAAAAAAAAAGTTGTGTAAATTGGTCCATTAATTTTCACAATTAACAGTTACAAACTAAAAACGAGCTATACAAATTTCATGGCATTCAAAAAGATAATAGAACTGGATTTACAACCAAGCGAAAAGTGGTGAATAATTCACGATTTTTCTAAAAACAGAACTTAGCTTAGTTTAGCTGCTCAAAATTTCTCTGTAAATAGTTTTAATAATGATAAACTCTATTTTCGTTTAAAATAAATTTCATGTTGTTTACTATAAACCAATTATTAATTACTTAAATTAAATATTTATTTATTTATTGCTTTCGATTCAATAAAAAACATGACTCTCTTAAAAAACCACAAAACTTGGATTTGCTACTTTTCAGCTGAAAATAGGGCCATTGTTTATATGAACTTTTTTGTAGCAGTTGAGGTCTGCTATCACTGCCCTCTACTCACAGGACACCCTGTATATTGTGTTTCATATAAAGATATTTGTGGTTTCATAATGTTACTAAAACTAGTTATTAAAGACGGTGATATAAAAAATGCAGAAATGTTACACATCTCTGTTTTCTGGATTTGATATGTATTTTTAAAATTATAATCATTATCTTATATTAAAAATCTCTTTTTCAGGCACTCAAAATTTAATTTCCTCCTATTTTTATAGCTTTTCTAATTCTCCCTCCTCTCCTGTGGAGAGTCTCCACAGGCAGATTTACGGAGCAAGAGAGACTTTCAGGCTGAAGCCCTCCCCCAAAATATAACCTATAAAATATAACCAAGTCTCATAAAAAAAATTATCTCTAAAAGTATTATTGTCCATTTAATTACATTTAATAGGACTTCAAGAATCACTTAAATACTATTTCATAAAGGTAGTTAATTTCTTTCTCATTGTTCCAAAATAATTATCGTTATATATATTTTTAAAAAATGCTTTCGGGGTGAAGCCCCCAAAATTAAATCCTGGATCCACTGGTGCTCCTCCCAGCCCTCCCAAAAAAAAATTTAGTAGATTCCTAGTTTGCCCGTTTGGAAATCTGGACCTGCATTTATTGAATCGAATAAAAAATTAATTGAGATTTCAATTTTATTTACTTTCTAACAGTTTTCACCTTTTATCTAATAACTAATTCAGTTCCTAATCATTAAGACAGAAAATTTATTTTTAAAAATAATAATAAAAAATACATTTCAGTAAGTAGGTATATATCAGTTTATTTCATACACTTTCTATTGTTTTTTATATAGATACAATATTAAAACTTCAGAATTACCTGAATGCCCTCCATGTATTACCAGTCATCATAAAAAGTTGGTTATCTAAAGGATTCTTTTTTTCATCTATTTCATATCCATGGTCAACGAAATGTCCAAAATCTTTTATTAATACTTTTTGAACCAAATCATTATCTCGAATGATGAGTCGAGGCGTCAGGAATTCATGATATCTTGAAGTCAATATTTAAAAATAAATAAACTCATTTTTTAATCAGTGCATAATAATTATTGCATACATAATTTAGATTAATTTTAAAAACTAAATTTACTTTACAGTTTCATAAACTTCGAATAAATATTGTGAATATGCCTTAAGACAACAATTGAAAAGACTAACAATCATTGGTAGTAATCTAATGATATAAAAGTATGAAATTGTTCTTACCCAACGACAGGTTCATCAGGAAATGCATTGTAAATATCCTCCAAAAGCTCGCCATAATTTCTTCTACTTAGAATCATAGGCAAGCTATTTCCAATGAAAGGGAGAGCTGGCAAACACTTTATTCCTTTTCTTTCCCAATATTTAGTCCTATTATAAACCCAGTTAAGAGCATAGGCTAAGACTGTTACAGCTAAAAGGAGGATAGTTATTCCAATCATCCTGCAAAAGGAATCAAATGTTTAACATAGAAATGTGAAATCGTTTTTCAAAAATGGTATATAGATAATAGATATAGTTAGGAAGTCAGCAATTTTTGGGTTCACATAGCTGTATAAGAAATAAATAGTAATATAAAGTGTAGCAATCGTGAAAAAATTTTAATCCGAGTTTTTAACGGTTTTACTCGTTTTAAGATGTCCTTAGTCTCAAAAAGTCTCACCACCAAATGGTGTATGGGTGTCTGAGTATAATTGAAAAACGAAAAGTCGAACTAAATGGAAAATACGTATTTAAGATTAGGTATATAAATCAACTGACAGAAAGTCTTACTTTAATTTTCCGTTTTTATACATTTTTAAAATGTTTTTTTCTCAAACAATTGATAACTCAGTCAAATTAGACATGTTATTCGGCAAAAGATGGGGCAATTCATTTTTTTTATATTGTTCGGTATGTAGTGAAAATAAAAATTCAAGTTTCCGCCCATGAAAGCATTGTGGGTTTGCTGTAGTGCTCCAAAAAGAATTGAAATTTCGAACTTTTTTTGGTTGACGCCAAATGTCTCCTTTTTAGATCGACACAGATAACAAATTGTTATATTCAATCGTAAGTAACTTAAAATTTTCTGATAATATTGTACAATTTTTTTTCTAAACCCAACAGGAAGCGAACTATCGAGATTTCAAAATTTACCCATTTCGATTTCTTCACAATCTTTCTCTTTCAATGCACATTCAGAGGAATTATGTAACTCCATTTTGAACCTCGTTCAGAGAACTTGGAGATTTTCCAAGAAGATGATGAGCCATTGACTGGAACGGTAGACGGTAGTTTGTAAATAAACGGCCAACAATAACAAAAAAGGCTTCGAAATAAAACATGTGGAGAATACATTTCTCATTCTAAAACACTCATTACTTTTTAAAATATTTGAAGCGGTTACTTTGAAAATATGAGCACACTTAATCGGCGGAAAAGCAGCACTGGCATAGCCCCTTGAATCATCTACCACATCATTTAGTACTCATAAATGGCGCAATAGCATTATAATAATATAATAAAGTTTTTAGTACATTATTTTTATTTTATTAATGAATAAATAAATATTAATACAATAATGTATTTGTCTAAAACTTTTTTTTTCCTTTTTACTTTCTATATTCTTGTATTCACTGTAACTATGCCATTTATGAGCGAGCACTGAATGATGAGGCATAAATGAGTAATAAATACGTAATAAGAAAGTCAGTAATTGATCAGACTCAGACTCAGTCGGACTCAGACCTAGGAACTGGAACTCAGCAGCACAGTGTCTTATTCACTGAGAATTTTCTAAAATTTAGAAGAATAAGAATTTTCTTAATTCAGCGCATTGTTTTAATTATTTTGGGTTATAAAAATAAATGAAATAATTTAATCCTTCCTCTACTTTTTTTAATGTTCAAAACTTTTTTTAATGTTTTGTAAGCATATTGATGTAATTGAATATTTTAGACGTTTTAGTGCATAATTAGAGATTTTTTACATTTTGAATCCAGTTCATGTGGCAAATACTTCAGTAAAAGTATAGCCCACGAATTGAATGAATTAAAGGGCGTCAGTTTTTAAATTGCAAGCGAATTAAGAGGTCAGTTGGTATGCTTTCTATACATTTTCATCTAGTCTATCGAATGAGATAATTTTCGGTCCTAAGGTTTTTCTATTGATATATAATATGATATAATCATTTCTATTGAAAATTTTGTCAGCTCTTATTTCACACATCACACTACTCTAGATCACGGGCGGATCTACGGGGGGAGGGGGCTTTCGGGCTGAAGCCCCAGCAAAACGGTAAAATATAACCACGTTTTATCGAAAAAAATATTAAAAAGTATCTCTTAAAGTATTATTGTTCTTGTAATTACATTTAAAAGGGCTTTAGGAATCACTTAAACACCATTTCATATAGGTTGTTAGTTTCTTTCTTTTTTTCCAAAGTAATTATCGTTATTTTTATGAAAAAAAAAAACTTCGGGCTGAAGCCCCCCCAAAAATAAATCCTGGATCCGCTAGTGCTCTAGATAGAACGCACTGATATGAGCGAAAAACCGAAAAAAGTAAACGGTTTAATTTGTAAATTCAATTTTTCGACTTGAAATCCAGGAGTGTGGATTAACTGATTATTATTTCAAGTCTTAAGATTGTAAATGCTATAAATTGAAATGATTAGTAGCTTTATATATCTATCAGCACTCTCTATATATATCATCAGATTTCTCTTCAGGCCTGTGGATATGGTCAATCAATAAGGACAAACCTTAGTATGAAATATGACACCTTTTTTGCCACGGGCTCCAGGACTACTTCGGGTAACTATATCCGAGGGATTTTATGAATTTGAGGGCGTCAGTTTTCTAAATAGCAAGTGATTTAAGCGGTCAGTTGTTATGTTTTCTCTTCATTTTCATCTAATCTATCGAATCATGAGATCATTTTCGGTCATAAGGTTTTTCGTTGAATAGCTTCGACGCAAATTATAAAATCAAGTCGGGTTTAAAATTACAACGATTAATGACCTCAGATATCTCGCATTCTATTTTAGATTGGTTCGCTGTGTATTTTGAGCCCAGTTCCAAGCGTAAGTCTTTTAGTTAAATGCACCGCACAAATTAATGACTTTGGCAGCCGTCAGTTTTCGAAACGCAACTACGTAGACCGGCAGTCCAGATGTTTTCTTTTTTAGAGACACATATTATACATCCCATCAAATTTTTAGCCATCAGTTTTATCGTTAAATGAAACGTCAAATTTCGCCATTTTGATTTAAACTTTCTTGACCGGAATTGTGTATTCAGGCGAGGATTGTCTATAATTTAAAATGGTTTCTAGCCGTAATAAAACCGGCAGTAGCTCTTAGTCTATTAATTTTTAGAAATAATTATTTATATTTTTTTAGTCACTCTCCTACAATTTTCTATATTAGATATAGTTTTTTTTTTATTCTCTGCTTTCCAACGATATATTATATTTATACCCTCTGATTATTATTTCCCGATATTCATTTTCCGCCTGGATATGCATTTTTCTCCCATATTCAATTATCAAATTCTTTCACAAGTTATATTTAGCATTTTTTCATAACTCCTAACAATGAGAAATAGTTGTTATTTATAATAAACCAAAAAAATCTATTCATTGAAGTATGGGAAGAAGAAATAATTCCAGAGGAATGGCGGACCGCCTTAATACACCCACTACACAAAAAAAAGGGGAGAAAGCTAACGTAAAGCACTACAGAGGAATCTCGCTACTACCAGTAACATATAAAACATTCTATAGAATTCTACTTAATAGATTAGAGCCGAAAATAGATCGAAAGATAGGGGAATACCAGGGAGGCTTCAGGAGGGGAAGATCCTGCCAGGAGCAAATACTTAGCCTAAAACTGATCATAAAATATTACAGGGCTAGACCCCAGAAAAATCTCTTCATCTCCTTCATAGACTTCAAAAAGGCCTATGATTCGATAGACAGAGATATATTGCTCCAAGTCCTAAGGGAATACGGAGTAGACCAAAAAACAATAAGCTTAATACAATTGACACTATTTCAAAAATAAAATTCCAGGAACTAATAAGTGAACCATTCAAAATAAACACGGGGCTTAGGCAAGGCGACGTCCTGTCAACGATATTTTTTAATGTAGTGTTGGACGAAATTATGACAATATTCTGGCGAAAGGACGAGGCAGGTGAAGTAACAGGAACAAAGAAGGACAATGTGAAAGTAAAGTGCGCAGATGATCTAGCAGCACACACACAGCAAAGCCTTTGCAGATGATATAGCTCTATTAGCAGAGACAGAAGAGGAAGCCATAAAACAGGTAAACACTCTGAAAGATGTATCTGAGAAAACGGGACTACATATCTCTTATGAAAAAAAAAAACAGAAATTATGACAACAGATACCAACTTCACCATGAAAATATTGGGCACGAAAATTTTCGACAAAGTTTGCAGCTATAAAAGTATAGAGGGATACATAAAACAAATAAAAGAGTTACGAGATAGGCCAAAATTCATGGATAAAGATTGCTTTAACTTATATGCTTTATACATCCATGAAATGATTTGATATTTCACTTCTTCTTTCACATAAACAATTAAATAGTTTTTTAAACGGTGGCATTGCCCTGATTAGGTGGATTTTAAATACTTTTTCAAACTTAAAAATATTTTAAAAGTTTAGTTATTTTTACATTTAGTTAGTAAATTTCATTTAATTTCCTTGAAAACATGTGATTAACGTTAAATAATATTGTTTTCAAAAATTATTATTTATCATTTTTTCGACACTCTTCGTTATCTTCTACAACTTCCTATATTAGATATTGTTTTTTCTAAAATTCTCAGTTTTCCAACGATATATTATATACCTTTGTGACTATTATTTCCAGAGATTCATTTTTGACCTGGATAAGCATTTTTATTTTTTTTCTCCTTTACTCAATTATCAAACTCTTTCACAAATTATATTTAGCATTTTTCGTAACTCTTAATAATGTTTTAAACAAGTATTTAAAATCCACCTAATCAAGGCAATGACATTGTTTCAAAAGCTTTTTCATTGTATTTGTGTGAAAAAAGCGAAATATGAAAATTTTTATAGATATGTTTATAACCTAATACATTTACTGTAGTTTAATAACTCTAGATATGATATTATATTTAAATAATTAGGTATATATCGGCCGTTTATTCCGAAAAATCATTAAGTAACCTATTAGAAAATTAAATTAGTGAATAATTTCATGAGTTTTCCCTTTATTAATATTAGTGAATGTTAGTCATTCTGTCAACTAAAAGATTCAGAAACTGAAGTTTCTTAGTTTATAAAAGCTAATAGAGTAACTAGATTTTGATTGCCTACCGTCGATATAATAAATAGAGTTTTTGTAATTTTAATGGTCTTAATCCTCGCGCGGACCCAGACTTGCTGGAGGCATGGGCCCACCAGA